TAAAAATAAATAAACAAACAAAACTGAAAATGCAATCCCAAAAATTTCATAATGTGAGTTGCTAATATTTAGAAATCTTAAAATTTCTGAACTTTAACTTACAGTGATGTCCTTTACTGTTTGCTCGTAAAGACACATGCTACCGTTAATCGAGCAAGACAGATTATCCCTTGAAGTATCATTATGAATACCATAAAAGGCATATTGATGGTGCTATAACACGTCTACTGCCTTTACATTTTATAGATCCTTCATTCTAAGTCAGAGCCTTTATGAAACACACTTGCATGTGAACAATTTCAAAGGCAATGCTCTTGTAAAAACGTCTTTGATAACTTTCACAGAGCAAGGAAATTGGCACTCAAAACTTGGGAAATGGGACTCAAGTCACAAGTAAAATCACAAAATGACAGCTTATTATGATCAGTTTCAAAATTTAAAGAGGCACAAGGCATAAGAGTATCAGCAATGGAAAACAAGGGAAATGGAAAAGCAAAGTGACCTATGATTCTTGAAGCCGAACTTCAAAGAAACATACATGAAATATTCAATTACTGAATTAAAACTCTTCAAAAGTGAAAACCCTATAAATTTGTATAAACTAGAAACAAAACAACTTCCGAAGGATTTTAAAGGCAGAATCGATCCATCTTACTAATTCTGTTTCCAACTCCACGAGCATGTGTGTATAAGGTATGGTGCATTATTAAAAGTCTATAGTAATTCAGTAATCAACAGGTTAAAATCACAGATTCCAGTCCACTGGCTACACACTGACTGTGTTTCCAAGTTTCAGGTCAGCCATCGAAAAAAGGACATGTTCTGATGCCCTTTAAAGCTGGATTGCGCCTTTAATGGCAGGTCTGATATGAAATATGTACACAGTCTTGAATTACCAGCCCGGTTCCACCGCTGTATTAGCTTTCGTGGGAGCTCACCTGAGCAGGCGATTATTTCTCTCAAGAAAATCCCAGAGTTTTAGGATTGAGGCTTTACCATGCAAGGCAGGATTGAGTACTAACAGAAATCCATCGCTACAAAGGGCAAGATGGCAAACAGAAGGATGGAAACGAAGGAGTTGAGAGGGCTAGAGTGGAGACATTTTATACAATTTCTTCCTCTCTTGCTAGTTCTTTCAACTCATAGAAGTGGATTTGATCGTAGATTGTATTACAGATGAAGCTCATAAAAAAACTAAGCTAGCATTGTGGTTTGGGAAGCATGTAACTCTGCACGCGATGCAAAAGTTACATCGCAAAATTAGTGCTTCAACTAACTTTTATGTTTTCAATATGATTTGTTCATATCATCGATATAGTACTCTATAGATGACAAATACATTTTAAGTTTTTGAATACATGGAAAAACTTGAAACTTAAAGGTTTCAATGCATGAAATCTTTATCATTGTCATGTACCTTGGCACAACAAACATGATTCAAGAATTCATAAACGGAAAGTGACAAAACAGAAGTAAATCAAACACATTATTCCATTTGACAATGAATAGTTATGCTGCCTTTATGGCATCTGTTTCAATATTAATATCCTCTAATGGCAGCTATAATTTTACAATGCACAACATTAGCTGGTAGATGAGTAACTTTGAGATAGAGTGGGGCTACATGTATTGGTATATGGAGGTGGATGTATGCATACTGCATGTTCTCCCGGCTTCTACCGAGTCTCAAGTTTCTCAGTCCATCTGAAATGAAATCTGGAAAGCCAAACACTGCGCTCATTTCACAGGTTTGCCAATTTTGTTCGATCTCCCAATTTTTATTGCCTTTTACTTTTCTTTTCTTTATTTTATGTCAAATGTTACATGAAATTCCTTCATGGTATTGTCTAGTCATGTTACATCATACAGTATGTATCTCAAAATATTCCTCTCCCTGATAATATCCTATCTCATAATCAATTCCTGCAATAAGAGCTTTTTAACTTTTCTCTTCCCACTCCCTAATTCCACTTTCACTTTTAACTTACAGTTACAAATAATAAAAATAGTTTTTACAAACATATACCCAACTAGAACCTTGATTCATTTGCAAAACTCACCACCCCTTCCCTCTGTAGTCTGGACCCCTACTCATTTCTCTATTACTTCATGTAATTCTTTTTCCCTCCTCCCCCCCCCCCCCTCCTCCTTCTCTTCTTTATCTCCATCTCCATCTCCATCTCCATCTCCATCTCCATCTCTCTCTCTCTCTCTCTCTCTCTCTCTCTCTCTCTCTCTCTCTCTCTCTCTATCTATCTATCTATCTCTCTCTTTCTCTCACTCTCTCCTCCTTGTCATCACTTCAAGAGACCATTTTCAGGGTGATGGAAAGTCAACTTGACAGGAGGAAATGGACAGTCTTCAGGATGATAAAGTGATGCAGTTCATCATCTTCTCATGTCAAACTCCATTACAAAGTACTCTCAGGACCGTCCAGAACAAGGGTGAAAAATGTGCACAATTATGCTCTAAGAAACGGTCAGTCATAATGATAAGGCGGATTACTTTTCCTTCATTTCTTTCCCATTTCTTCCCTTTCCAATTCCTTGTGGGCTGTATATAGCAAAGGGTATTTGATTAGCTTTAGTTACAAAATAGGGAACTGATTAGTAAAGTTTTAGTAATTATATTTTTCATTAAATTGTCCAATGTTTTAAACTTGCAAAGATATCAGAACAGATCTAAGATTAGAGGCCTTCCATGAATACTAGAGAGCACCTTTAAGAAAATTTACATCATTACATGTGAACCTTACGAATGCTGCAAATCTCATCACAACTTTATGAACTAAATTGTTTAGTCTGTTCATAACACAGAACACAAACAATGTATCAATTCACAGCATAAATTATACGCATCTCTACACCAGCAAATGAAACGAGGGCCTATAAATCGATGCGAGATGTGGCATTGAAAGCAACAACTACAGTCCATGCTGATCAGAATTATGATTTATGAAGTCAAGTTTATGACAGTAACAACACACTCACAGCCCCAGCTTTCTCATAAATCAAACTTTCGAGAGAAATCAACTGAATTCGGAGGGCAGTTGGATGGATACAGCTGCTTGCTTGAGAATAGTTCTGCTATCGGATTGTTTTTGCTTTCCTTTTAGCTGGTTAAGATGAGGGGAAAATGCAAAAGGTTTTATAAAAGCATTCAGGCTGCCTCAAAGAATTATAGAAACAGAGATACAGCACATTTAAAGTTTCTGAAAATCTCAATGAATGGTTCAGCTTGTATGGAGCCTGTTTGTTTTGTTCTTGTTTTTGTTTTTGCTTTCAATATAATTAACATCCTAAACCATCATTTTTTCCCCAATATTGAGGTATTGAGGTCTGATACAAGCTATATTAAGGTTTATACAGCTATACTAGAGACAGACACGCCCACACCAGAAAGGGAACTATAATGCGTATATATCGACATTTTCACTAGGAGGGTGCAAGAACTAAGTTTGTTTTAAAGTCAGTACCCAATTAGTAAAACATGGACTTCCCTAAAAGTTGTATTCTTATTTTTACTAACTCCTGAATAAATTGTTGTTGAACAGCTTTTGAGTGGGGATACAAGGGTACAGCTTTTCAGGTAGGTACCAGGTAGCTGACGTTACCAGCCAGCCATCCATCCAGCCAGCCATCCATCCAGCCATGCGGGACAGGAAAGAATGCAGAGGGGCTGATGAAGCCTGGGTGATTTACGCTGGTTTACGGAAGTGAGATGACAGAGACCGATAACCTCGATTCGGTCGCTACCTTCTTCACAGATAATGATGACATTCTGGGAATTGATAGATTGGACATTGATCCTCTAGCTCCACGATGGTGTGACATCTCCTTCTAACTGTACTTGAGGAAGGCTGTTTCATAATACATTTGCCTTGAGCGAGTCTAAAGCTGAAAGATAGAATTTACATGTACGCATCTGCAACTGCCTCTTGAAATTCCTGTACTTGCCGGTCTCACACATTCAAGTGGATTTTTATTCACATTCCCAACAAGAGCCAATAAATTCAAACAAGCTGATGTTTTCAAAATGACAAGTATGCTAGCATTATTAATGTCACACTGAAATTTCTCTACTTAGTCAAGACAGAATCATAACATTTTAAAAAGTTTTCAAGGTTCAAAGTAACACCAAAGACAAATCAATCCCTGTCTTTGTCCTACTAATGTACATGTACATCATCAGATTCTTGAGGTCAGTCAGTCTTGCACATAGAAGATGGATCTTCATGCCCCACTCAATTTCAAACTTGGAAATTACGTCCTTGTTCACACGTTAAAGGTATTACAAAGTTTTGGGAAATTTTGAAAAATGGGTGGATAGTGATTCTTTACAATTCTGATATATTTGGATGCACCTGTGGATGTATTAAAAGCACTAAAAATTCTAGCCCCTAAAACGCTTCTGCTTTCGAGAAAAATTGAATATAAAGATTTACCGGTGCTCCCGGTAAATTTGATAAATTTCAAATAGCTCCTACGGCCGTACTATGGTAGCTGCGACCATGAAAATCTCAGAATATGTAGTTGTAGTATATAATTTGCGAACGGGAATAGCTATTCAGTCGATATTAGTCAAGAAACATTGTTTTATAGCTTAATTAATATCTTGACCTTGAGAGGGAGCTATACAACATAAAGTGGTTTATTATTAATGATTTCATAACTTAAGACTCGATTTCGACCGCGACGACGATCACTGAATATTGTAGGATCGCATATGCTTCCAATATGTTCATTTGAACCAAATTCATGACCCCATACCAAAACTTTGTATTACCTTTAAGTGTTAAACCCACCTCTGCAAACTAAAATGACATTTTAAACATAGTGCACTCTGCATTGCTGTACTAATTACTCTTAGGGCCACCTTTGCATGCAGCTACCTCTTTCTCACTTCAACCTATCATTCATTTAAATGTGAATGTTTTAAAAAATAGGTGGTTAACTGCATCGAGTGTGAATGAGGCTTGGGGCCAGGGTTGTTCATCTTACCTGATTGGTGTTTCGTGTTCTACCCCATCCTCTCCTGCTTGTATCTGAGCAAAGCACCATCCTCCTGGGCTGGGGTAGCAGGTATTGTTCCGTGTAATCTCTGGACAGTGTTCATCACAATAGCAGTACAACATTTTGGTTGCTAGTACTGTCAAAGAAAGAAAAAAGGGAGGGGTCATTTAATAGAGGAATGGGATAACAGGTATTGTTTCCTATAGTCTCTGGACAATGTTCTTCACCATAGCAACTCAGTTGCTAGACAAAGAGAAAGAAGAGAGATTGTAATTACATGGTTAAGGTAACAGATAAATATAAGACCTATTGTTTCTGGCAGACTTTGGAAAGTACCCATCATGGTAAAGTAGTCTGCAAATCATTCGTTGATTGAGAACCAGAGCTAGAAAGGCATTAACTCCATGCTGAAGTCCATGTACACCTTTCTGACTCCCAGTAGAAGACACTATGTATCTTGGTTGTTCAGTGGTGCAAAAAAAAAAAAAAAATCTTTTGTCTTACTCGTCCTTTGTTTACAAATATCCTAATAATTTTCCCTTGTTTTTAATTATATATTTTACATTAAAATACAAAATGCATAAAAACTACTGTGTATTTTACTGTTTTAGTTTCATGACAAAAGACTGTCCTGTTAAATGCCTTTTGCATTATATCCATGTACAGGTAGATACCAACTCATATTTTGACCACAATGAGATCAATTACAATTTATTCACAAATGCTGTCACTTATTACATTCCACATATTGAGGCATGTCTGCATGCAGTCCTCCACAAAACCCTGAGACCAAAGTTATCATAATTCTGTCGCATTCTTGTCACACAAAATTCTATTGATCCGACATCCAAGAAATGATTGATTCATCGACCGAACATGCAGGACACATATTGTACATTCTACGCATACAAACATGTGTGGATACAACCATTCAAGAACATTGAAGAACACAATGAAAGATGATGGATGGATCAAGAAGTGTCAATGAAAATGACCTGGAAAAAAGACAGACACACCTTCATAATATCGCATGTACGTGTACGACATTGTGCTGGCTGAGCTCCCGGCCTTCTCAAATCAAATTGTGGAATTCCCCTCCTGCCTCCTCTCTAGGATACTGTCTTGGGATAAGATAGCTTCAGCTAGGATATTGTATCCTTCTCTTCTAAATGCCTTGAAGTGTAAAACACACCAGGACAAAACCAGGATTGACTCCCAACACCAGCGAACAAGTGAGGTTGCAGTGCAGATCTACAACCGAACTCAACAAAGCGGCACAAGTTCTCTCCTCTAATAGCATCCAAACGCACTACTTGTAAGTCAATCCAAAACGATGAGTAATTCATACATAAATTCCATGCTATTAAAAAGCTGCATGCGCACTCAAAATACATGTAGTTGAGAGAAAAAGGCGGCATGCTGCAGCTAGTTCCATCACTGCCTGATGGCTTCTAGCCCCGATGGGAAATTCATTCATAAATTGAGTGGAGGGTTTACTCTGGTAGATGTAAATTCTAAACATGAATGAATGAGACAGGATGAGACAGGAGCGTAGTATCATGAATGAATATTGAAGAGGAGATCATTTTTCAAGTTCCCATTTTAAAGTGATGATTGCTATAAATCTGTCATTACAAGTATATTTTAACAAGATCTTATGAGGAAACATCATACCAATGAACATGTACATGAACATTATTTGAGGGGAATAATAGTTACCCATTATCTCTGGGAACCGGGTAGTGCATGCACAAGCCTAGTAGGAAATTGAGAGTATTCTGAGTCAAAAGAATAGTGTACTGCTGAATCTCAAACACCAACCATATTAGACCGACTATATATGCACATGTACATGTACACGTAGGCAAAGCTATACACTAAAAAGAAAAGAAAATTGAATGGTAATATAGGTAGTCTCCTTCAACATAAAACATCAACTAAAGAGTAGAATGTACATCAGCAATTGTACACGTATGTACACTGTATAGGCCTAGAAACACTATACATTAAACATGTCCACTAGAGTGAATGTATGGGACAACAGTCTCCATGATATTTCAACTTTTGCCTTATTCTGATTTTCTCTTTCCCTGCTGGTGCATTACCAATGAACCCCATGGTCCCCGTTTACCACCCTCCCTCTCTCTCTGTTTATATCCCATCATGCCTTGCTAATCGACACAAAATGAATTTACAACAGGAAGTATTCTTAGCATGGCGATATTTATGTTCACTCCAGGGAAACAAAAACATGGCATTCAAACTCTGGCTCCGGCCATAAAACTGCATTTACGCTGAGCCAGTCAGCTTGAAAATTGGGAGGATTGTGGAGCATTATTGGAGGGTGCTTTGAGCGAGTCACTGGAGCCCCTATGAATAGGAGAGGATACAGCATGTCAACCTTTCAGACAATGGACGGGCCACCAGAACTAGCCAACCGCAACCAGAGATTGATGACGAGGAAGATGAATGTCAAAACTCATACAAATGGGTGGGTGAAACGATCAAAAAAGAATTAAGAAGAAAACAATAACAATTTCCAAAGTGCACCCCTATAAAATGTAGCTGTGTTGACACAGATGTACACATTTAGAAAATGTCACACCAGTACCCTCATGTACATCGTAGTCTACAGAACGACGTACATGTACCATGAAAAAGCCCTGGAAGTATTCATACATGTGCATGGTATATTTCATGTAAGAAATTACTGATAAACCAAACAGACATCAATTGAGCTGGATCGACTTGATCAAATATAACTTGAGATCAGATTGAATGCTTCGTCTTCTCAAAATCTTCATGAAATGTACAAAGGACTCTAGATGAACTGATGGAGATCCTATAATTTCATTATTAGCGTTTATACCTTCGTTACGTGTCTACTTCTGAATGATTTTCATAAATGCATATTATCTCATGCAGGTTTACACACACTGCACCATGCAGCATCATTTTAACCCCAACATTGATGGCCGTTTCAGGACTCTTCAAGGAGCTGGGTCACTCTGGTGTAAAGGGTGCAAGAAAGGACCTGGTTTTCACTCCCATGTAAATGCTGTATTAGTCATACCCTTCAACCTCAGAAACCTAATCTGTTCCTCATGAAAAAAGATGGAGAAATCACCAATAATGTCAGCCAATAAAACATGGGGTCGCTCTCACAAAATGTGTCACTCTGATGGGAGAGCGAGGGCACTTGTCATTCGACCAATGGTCGGTGTGGCTACTTCCTAGTTCAAGTGCCCTGCTGACGAACCTTGCAGAATTTTGAAAGGTTTAGCAGAGAATAAGTGACATCCCGATCTCTGTACATTATTACATCTTCAACACTTTGTTGGTTTCTTGAAGATTTCTTTTTAAAGAAGGAGAGGGAAAATAGGGTGGCATCACAAATCTTAAATCTGAAGAACCAAACTCATTTTCTCTTCCTCTGTACTTAAGTGTGCCTGTCCAATTTCAGAATGTGTTAAATCAACCTACCGGTACTGTATGCTGCTTTACAAAACAATGAAATCATTCAAAAAACATTCATCCTTAAACTTTTCTTTTCTGATTTATTCCCTTAAATAAAGTTACAATAATCATGAAGTGCTTGCAGTAATATCTTTTACCGGTACTGATGATGATCTTTGCCTTTCAGTTTCCCCCTCGTTTTCTCTCTCTGCCACTTTTGCTCACTCTCACTCTCCCTCTCTGTCTCTTTGTGTCCCAGTTGTTCAATCATCCTCACCCTCATGTTTCTTTCAGGGAGAGAATTCCAGTTATGACATTCTCACATTGAATGTACTACTATGATGAAGCACTTGACAGCGAGATTTGACAGGCCTGGCTTATGAATCACTTGACTTGTGTTTAAGCACTGGGATTAAAGCCGTCAACAATCGTCCATCAGATTGATCAGAATTACAATGATAAATGCCCCCAACCTGCCCTCTCGGAGAGCCAACCCCTCACTCTTATCCACCTCATGTTTTCATGTTTTCTTTCTTTCCTGTATTCTTTCCAATATCAATAATTCAAAATTAAGTCATCTTCTGAGAGGTATAAAGACGGAAAGATATCAACTCTGTATGTACATAAAAATGGCTTTTCAGACCTTCTGACTCAAAGCAGATTTGTATTCTTTTATGGTAGACCACATTTGAAACAACTATATAGTAGTCTCTGAATAAATTTTCTGTCTGCTTCTATTGATTTGAAACTTGTACTAAGTTCAACATAACTCAATCAAAGCTACAAAATAGCAATAATGAATATAGCTGTTGAAGAAATCACAGGCTTCTAAAATACTGTGGCCCGAATTCACAAAGGAGGTTTGTCGACAAACCTAGGTTTATCGACAAACCTAGGTTTATGTGCATCATATGACGCGTTTCGACGATATGACGCACATAAACTTAGGTTTGTTGACAAACCTCCTTTGTGAATTCGGGCCTTTGTCTTTGGGTATAAAAAACCCCACAAAAAACCTGTGAATTGGATTGAAGAATGATCAACATTTAGAAAAATATAGGCTAAAGGCTAGCTACAATCTGATCAAATGTGATTTACACAACGCAATACTCGATAGATATGGGCAGCAGAGATTGTCAATACGCAGAATTCCTTGGATTCTGGATGTCTTGATCCATCGACTATTTCCAAGCTCGACCTTTCTCCTACATGTACATCACATTTTCCACAATTCATTGCAATGTGGCTTTAATATAAGAGAAGCCTTTAGAAATATAAAAAATCAAAGTAGTTTCATCAAATTCCATAAAGCATTGGAATTGTAAACATACATCTGTAGAGCTCATATATTTTGAAACGCCAGAAGAAACTCCACCAGTTTTTGCAGTGTAAATGCTCACGTATAAAACATCAGTGAACTATTTTTTTAAAATAAGATATATCTCTCCATGCCATCGCATGCAGAGCATTGTAAAGTGGCGCATGCTAGAAGTTCACCAAACAAAAGGGTTAGACTGATGGGTCTTTTTATGGGTTTTTCCAGAAGTGTAAGTGGTAATTTAAAAAAGCGATGGTTTTTCAGATTGGTCTTTCTGCATTGTAAATGGGCCTCATGATGGTGCCAACCAAACCAATGTAGTGCTGTAAATCTGCAATAACATGACAATGGACTTAACAGCATCCATTGACTGACACGTACGATTATCAACAAATGGAATTGCCATTAAGAACTCCAATTGATGTTGTCATTGATCAACCTACATCAAATTCAAAAGCCAGTCACCCCAACACCTCTCACAAAGCGAATCCTTATTCCCTCAACTCACTCATTGCACCTATCTCCATTCCATTATCACATTTTCTATTGTGTCTTGTTTAGTGCTGTAACATCACGGATATCTCCAATTCCGTTTAACCGCCAGTCAAAACCGGACGGTTTTCGGTTAAACGATTTTAAAAAAAAAAATTAAAAAAAAAAAAAAAAAAAAATAGTTTTTTTTTTTTTTTTACCGACTCTGTCGGCAACTTTCATTTAACTGCGAGGTGCATTTAAAGGGGGCCGATTTGTGCTTGTGAACTTGTCACAAATAATAGTAACAATGTTATTTTTAGAAGAATGTGTAAGATCATTAATGTAAATTAAAAACAGTAGAGGACCTAGGACAGAACCTTGTGTAAAAGTTGGATGAATTATTATTATAAACTACATATTGAGATGAGATCTATTACATAGATTACTTTCAAACCAAGATGACAGACAAATTGGAGTGTTGTTCTAGTTTTGGAGTGGTGAGTCAACACACAAATTACTGAGCTGGGAGACATTGCCAGGCATAGTGCCAGGTGGAGGGGCATAAATCGAAACTTTAAAAAAAAAAAAAAAAAAAATTATTAAAAAAAAAAAAAAAAAAAAAAAATATTAAAAAAAAAAAAAAATCGGGAAAACGAAACCGTCCAATTGAAAACGGAATCCGCCATGGGCGGTCGGATACCGGACGGTTAAACGTTTGACTACAGCACTAGTCTTGTTGATAAAGCACTTCACAACATTTTTTGACAACTTGGATTATGGATGGGTGGAACTGCGATTGAGAGCTGGGATTTAACTTGTCAAGATTCCAGATATTAATTCTGTTCAAACTGCAAGCTAATACACAACTGTAATTGGTCCGAGCCTCAGAAATTATTGAAATGTGTCCACCATTTCTTTTTCTTCTTCTTCTTACTCCTCCTTTTCCTCCCTCTTCTTCTCATGGGCCCTCTTTCCTCCATATATGTTCTCCATTATATCTAAAACTGTTGGAAACATTTAATTTGCCTATTAAATATTCAGGGAAATATGGTGACATGGTCACTCATACAACAAAGTAACTCTTATGGGGAAGATAAGAATGGTCATACTTTGCTTATAATAAGGTCAATTTAAAATCAAATAATAGATCAAACTTGATGCTCTATTAAAGTACTATTCCTCAAATCTTTTTTCCAATATGCAGGGCACACATGTACAGTGTATCCTACGTAAGTAAAATAATTTGATTGGGTTATTCAAGTGCAGTGATATAATCTCCAGAGGCCTAAATTGCTTAAATGTTGATGAAGAGATAAATCTTTCAAAATTTCCCCACATCTCAGTCATCAGCAAAATGTACAATGAGAAATCAAAGACGTAGACAAAATGAACATATATATTCACGATAACAACCAAGTATTCAAGCATTTTAGATAAAGAATTTGGGAGCACTCAAGATTTGTGACTCATCTCTCATAATCTCTTTCATTACTGCAATTTCTCATAAAGACTCCCTTAGAAGGGAGATGTTTTTCATGGAAACAAAGAAAAACATAGATCCATCAAATCGCTCGAAAAGTGAAGGAGCTACAAAGAAATTACAAGGCAAATACTCAGCTCCCTAGGCATCGGTCGCACATTAATGTGTTATTTCTAAATGCACATGCACACTCCGGTTGGGGAATCGGGAGTAGGAGAACTTGTGAAATTATTGACTAGGCTCTTCGTCCTAGCTACACGTTCTGGAGCTATGTTGACTATTGACACAACGGCGGAGGGGTAAGATGCCTGTTTCAGCCAAAGTATTTACTTTGAGCACAGATCGCCTGATGACATCTCCTTGCAAAGTATAGTCTCAATCCTTGCACTTGGTAATTAATTTTGTCTGCATCTGCTTTTAAATATCTGCTTTACTGAAATCTATGCAATGATTTCAGACACACTCATAAACTCAACAGTTTAAGATGGATTATTTTGAATTGTCATGTAGTACATGTACACTCTACACATATTTGACACGTTGAGATTTTTTTAAATACTTCTTATTCTTTGAAAGCAGACTACTTGAAGTCTGTCATCTCAGCTCAAAATGGTTTCTTGCTTGCTTAGACAGAGTACCTCATCAGCACGGAACTTTCACAGAGTTTTTAGAAAATGGAATGCTCTGACCATATAAAAACAAAGATGAAGCAAAACTGGTCTTTCTTTCTTTAAGCATAATATTCTCGATCTCCCTTCTTGCACATGGTGAAGAGAACTAATATCTTCATCACATGTGTATTGATTTTAGGAGGGCTATATGGTTCATAGCTACAGCCCTAGGTATCACATACTGATCATTACTCTAGAACATGAGAATATTGTCTTTCTTTCTCCCTTCTCACGTTGCCTCCATCACCGTGACATCATCTTCATCCTCATCATCTTCATCTCTGAATTGCTATGTGAGAGGATGAGAGCGAAAGAAAAAGAGAGAGAGAGAGAGGATGAGAGCGAAAGAAAAAGAGAGAGAGAGAGAGAGAGAGAGAGAGAGAAATGGTTGAACTCTAGAATCAGTACCCCGGAGCTCTCGGCCATATTACTAAAACAGTTGTGTCATGAGGCACCTGCCAATCAAACTAGACATACATGTAGGAGTTCATCAATTTCTCTCCTTCTTTCTCCCCCCCCCCCTCCGACCTCTCTCTCTCCCTCCTCCCCTCTCTATCTCTCCCTTCCCTCCCCATCTTTCTGTCTATCCTTCATAGAACTTTCTTATCATGTTGAACCTTGCAAATGATTTTTCTCTTCATCCCTTCAATATTTAAATGGAAGAAATCTCGAACCAAACGTCAGGATTTTGAAAAAAATCTAGCCATCATCTTATTTTCTCTCATCTCTCCATTCTCTTGATCTCTCTTATCCTAAATTTTTTCTACTCTTTACATTAACGTCTTCCTCTCTTTTCTCTCTCTCTCGCTCATTGCTACATTGAAATTTCCAGGCAGGTTCTTCTTTCTTTAAAAAGAAATGAAAGTATTCTTACCATTCTGTTTTGAAGAAACAACTAACACAGGCTCATGTACATGTATACAAGAAAAGAGAATTATTCTCCAGTAAATCAGCTTACTCTACTCATGCTCCAATACAAACTCAAATCAAAGTTTGCTCTGTAAAACATGGAATTTGCTTTTGCACACTCCTAAAAATATTTGTATTATTCTCAACTGCAAACTTATAGGTTTGGCTAACAAATAAGTACTAATTCATTACACACGATATACCTCTTTATTACAAAAGAAAGCACATTGACCTTGAACTGCTATTAGTTTCTTTTCAAACTAAAGTTAATCCTCCTCACATCCCCATTAATCCCATTCAAACAAGACAGGGAAAAGAAAACTAAGGAGGAAAACAAACACTTATAAACAGAGGGAAACATAGAGAATGATCATAGACATAAAATCTGTTTATGAATCCAGTGATCTGATTGAAAAGGAAAACATAATAATACCCAGAGGTGCATGTACTATTTGAGTGGATTGACCTCTTATGAAAGAGCGAGGGCAGTCACAGTAGCTTCAACTTCCTCCAGGCTAATAAATATTGTTTACAATAAAAAGATTGGTTTGCCTAAAGCCAAAAGGGTGTTAACTACCACATTAAATAGCTTGAGTTAATGGTAGAAATATCATCATCAATACCCCTTTTTGTCTCTTAACAGACAGTTTTGCCTTTTGATTTCCTGGTACCAATAAGATGAAAAATCAATTATTCAGTGGATAATTAAA